TAATAGGAACATACCTACCAGGGTTGTTACATTCTATTATATTCCTACTACATTATTCTTGGGGTTCCCTCACTAAAGTCCAATTTAACTATAGGACTGGCCCCTGTGCTTGGGAAAGACAATGGGTTTAGGGTTTAGGGTGTTAGAGATTTAGGGTGTTAAGGGTTTGGGGTTCAAAGCAGTCCCTCTTACGGGTGCAACAAACCTTGGAATTGGCGATGGCATGTTCTCAACCTCCACAACTTGCAAAAACGGTCAAATCCTCGGGCAGTTCTGAGCACTCAAAACCATTGTCTTACTGGTTGTTAGTAGGGAATAAAGGAATAAGATCCCCTTCTTCCCTACCCTAAGCCCTGGACATTAAACCCTATACTGTATTCCGTTATCCATTAAGAAGCCCCAGTAAGAAGACATTCTTCGATTAGCATGAGGCCTCCTGGCAGCGAATCCTAAGCCACGGACCCCTTCGACCTCCTTACCTGGGTTTAGGGCCTTAGGGCCACAAGCCCTTCAAGCCATACGACCTCAAAACAAAAACCCTAAACCCCTACACCCCTAAACCCCTAAATTCCTAAGCCCCTCAACCTTGAACCCTAAGACCCTAAACCCCAAAACACGGCGGCCAAAAGTCTACAGCGTGAAAACCAGAACCTAGTGGAAGCCCCCAGCTGCCAGAACGCTGCCCCTTTCTGGGTTGCTGCTAAGGAACTTAAATTACGTCACCATAATGGGTATATATAGAGGATGATATGGTTTCCTTAATATAGTAACTTAAAATGAATTAGGTCACCATGATGGGTGTATATATAATGAAAAAGATGGTTTCCTCAATATAGAAGCTCATATTAAATCAAGTCACCATAATGGCATATACATAAATGTATAATGATGAATATGGTTTCCCCAATATAGTACCTTGAAATAAATTAAGTCACCATAATGGGTATATATAGTGATGAAGATGCTTTCCCCAATGTAGCAACTTAAAGTAAGTTCCTTAACAGCAATCCAGCTTTAGGCCGCTGACCTCTAAACAACAACCCCAACACCTGAACCCTACCCAAATACCTACCTTCTCTGTTTTCACCAAGGAGTACGACCAAATCCTAAACCCTGAGCCCTAAGCTTCGGACCTGAAGCCAGTAGTCTAACTCACCCTAAGGGTCCAAGGACCCAAATAATAAGGTTGTACGCCCAAAGTAGCATGAATATTACAGAATTTTGCCCTTAAACCCTATCATTTGGGTCCTTGGACCCTTAAGGTCACAAAGCCCTTGAAACGAAGCTCCCAAAACCGTACACCCGGAAAACCCTGCAGACCCCTCATGACCTCGCTCGACTTCGCCATCATACAGGCATGTCGGATAAGGCCCTGGGGCTGACATGATACTACTTGGAGGGTCAGGGAGACTTAGTAAGCAGGTTAATAATGGGGATAACTAGGGTTACTATATGGATGATAGGGTTTACGAACCTACTTAGTAAGTCCCCCTGACCTTTCAAGTAGGGATCTTGGGCAGCTATACGCCCAAACATGTCATGTTAAAAGCAGGGTAGGACCTACTCTGGGGGTCCAGAGAACAGCCCTACTTCACATCTACCCATGAGCTCTCCAATGAGAGCCGCTCTTTCTGGGATATGGTGGCCCTTGTGGACAGGTGTAGACAAAGCAGGAGCCCACCCTGCAATATATGGGTTTATATTGGGTTTATATAGGGATAATGGAAACTAAAATGGAAACTACTATAATGGAGTATTTCTGGGTTTATATTGGGGTTATATAGGAATGAAAGGGCCTAAATATTTGCCAGAGATGGCAAATTTTATGGAAAAGAACATTAAAAGCTGATCGAAAAGGGGCTTGTAAGATATTAAACCCTTAGCCCTACATGGTAGTATTGGAAAGGGGGCCTATATGGTATGGTTTCGAGGTTTTTTTCACCGGAGATGTCGAACAGGGCCCTCAATATGGGCCAATACCTGCTTTTGGGGTCCTAAGCCCTAAACCGCGTTGGGCTTCCAAGGCTTTACCGCGTATAAAACACGAACCTGAAAACGGACTGGGATTCCTTAAGATCATGGGCAGTCTTTGGGGGTATCCCTGGGCTTAGGGTATAGGATTCAGGGCTGGGAGCAATCCAAAATGCCACATCCCAAGCTCAACATCCAAAGCTACAGCCTCACACTGCTGAGTTCACCAGCGACCTCCTCCCCATTTTCGAAGTGCACCGCCATGCAGAACTCTCCAGCCTCATCCTCGCATATGGTTTTCGAGTCGAGGCTTCTTGTCTGGGTCTACAGTAGTGGATCCTGGGGACGAATCCCCTTCTGACCTGCAGATCAGCATTGAACCCTAAACCCTACATTTGAAACTGCGCGGTTCAGGACCACTCCATGGTTCCGTGGGGCTTCAAAAACCTACAGTAGTCCTTGACCTTTGATCGGCTGAAACTCCCCAGACCCGGGGACGACCAAAGACAAGAGCTACCCTACTACCCCCATCATTATGCTACCCTTCATAGGATCACCCGTTAATTAAGGCTACTCAAAATCCACTAGGTGAGGGGAAGCTTGGGGGCGGTATAGTGGGAGGCTGATAAGGGAACCCATGAGAAAGACAAGAGGTAAGAGGTCCTACAACACCTAGAATACTTCCTATCTAGTCCCCTATATAACCACCTTACAGGAATTTTAGACTATAGCTCATGTTGAAAACCCCTAACCCTAAACCCTGAACCCTAAACGCTAAGCCCTTTTGCAACAGGCGGTTTGAGTCCGTCTGGAATGGGCCATTGACTGCCCGGCCAAACTCTCAGAGCAGGCTTGACCCCAACTTTGCGAAAGAACTTCGTGATACACTACAAACCCTATACCCTAAACCCTAGACCCAAACCCTAAACCCTAAACCCTAAACCCTACACCCTAAACCCTAGACCCTAGACCCTAACCCTAAACCGTAAGAGCTAGGAGGTCCTTTCCCACATCAGGGTCCATGACCAAGGCCCTGGCTTCCTGTCCTTTGCAAACGCATTTAGGATTTAGGGGTTCGGGTTTATAGGTAGGGTTTTGGGGATTTAAGGTTTAGGATTTAGGGTTTAGGGGTTAGGGTTTTTAGGTTTTAGGGCTTACGGTTTATAGGTTTTAGCGGTTAGGGTTTATAGGTGGGTTTTTTGGGATTTAGGGTTTAGGATTTAGGGTTGTAGGCTTTAGGGTTTATAGGCTTTAGGGTTTAGGGTTTCAAGGTTGTAGGCTTTAGGGTATATAGGTTTTAGGGTTTAGGGTTTAGGGCTGAGTCCAGGCCGAATGGTGGTTCGCTGGGAATGAAGGCATGGGTTTGAGTCTCAGCAGCAGTACCTACATTTTTTTGCAGCGTAGTCTTTAGAGCACATTCTTTCTTATATCATATGCGGAATGTGAATTAAAAAAAAAGCCAATGCAAATTGCGTGGGAGACCGAAAGCCTAGACCCTAAACCCTCAATCCCATAAGGGCACTCTAAACCCTACACCCCACGACCTTACCCTAAACCCTACAAGACCTAGGACCTAGGCAACTCAGAAAGTTCCGTGGCACGGACCGCAGACCCTGGCCAGCAGACAGCAAAGACTGAGGCATCATCATTCTACACCCCGGACTTGGAGGGTCAGGGGGACTTAGTAAGTAGCTTGATAATCCCTATAACCCCTATAGTAACCCTAGTTATCCCCATTCTTCACCTACTTACTAAGTGGCCCTGACCCTCCACGTACGTTCACGAGATGCCTAGACTTAAACCTAAAACCTCCACATCTGTATCTATAGCCCCCCTTAAGTAGATAGAATATGGGGTATAGGGGATCTTCTTAGGATAGAATATACCCAAAGCCATATTCTATCTATTTACAGGGGACTATAAACCCTCTATATCTAGGTCTATATCTATATTTGTCTACCTATGTATCTGTATATATGTATATACATAAGTTGATCCCCTATTCCCTACTAACCCCCAGTAAGTTTAGGGAGGTCCCAAGATTTATCACATGATTTTGGGGGTTGGAAAAGTCACCTCTTTTCCTGGAAAGTTGCATGAAATATGAAGGGATGAAAGTTCAGATGTAGGCTAAAGCGGTTTAGACACGCGCACAAAGCAAGCACGGCAGACACTGAACCCCTTTAGTGTTTAGGGGTTGAGGGGGTAGTCAACAATTTGCAGCTCTTCTTTGGGTTTAGGGTTCAAGGTTCTAGCTGTATGCTATCCCGGCCCGCCCGCGCTTGGTTGCCAACCATCGGGCCCTGGCACGAAGATGGTGTCGCCTCTCTTCCTGAGACGCACCCAAACCCTAAACCATAAACCGTACTAGCCCTCTTTCATAAGGCCGGTATGGATCGGCAAGGAGTGTACGATCGAGAAAGCAAACAGCAACAAGGCAAACGAGCTGACCTTTGAAAAAAACATGCAGGATTGTCGACAAATCTTGCCTACAACAGAATTATGGAATCCCTAAACCCTTGTGCATCCAGCCTGAGCCCCTAAACCTCGTTCAACCCTAAGCCCCTAAACCGTAAACCAGGGGCCCCATGACTATATAAGGACTCCCTAAGACTTTCCTAAAACTCGCTGACATCTCCCAGTATGCACCACCCGGCCTTAAGGATTTAGGGGAGGATTCATTCCGGCTTCTTCAAAACCGTTGAGGCTTGATGAAGGCTAAGCGTCAATCCCCGTTCCTACTGCTCACCATCAAGTTGAGCATTGCAAGCCATACACCCCCGAAGCCGCCGAAACGTGAACTGAAAACCTTCAGACTAATCCCGAAGCCCTAGACTTCCTAAATCCTAAGCCCTAAATCCCAACACCTAAGCTTCCCAGACACTAAGCTGGTCCTAAACCCTAAACCCTTTTTTCCTAAACGCTAAAACCTAAACCCTAAATTAAACCCTAAAGCCAAAATGACTCAACCCATGCTGTGAACTTCGAAGCTCTCAAACATCAAGCTACAAATGCCTAAGCCCTAATGAAACCCGGTATGAGTTAGGGTTTATAGGGTTTACAAGGGTGTTAGAGTTTGGGGTTTATGGGTTTTTTAGGGTACTAGGGCTTTAGGGTTGATAGTGTTTATAGGGTTTAGGGTCTGAAGCTCTACATGCGTTGCAGAGGTCGGTGGCGCGCGCGCCAAGGCGAACTTTGGGTGGAAGGGAACCACCTTGATTCCCATAGGCTCCTTGGGTACTCAGTTTTGGTTTTGCCCGCCCTAAACCCTAAACCCCTAAACCCCTAAACTAATCCCCTAAACCGTAAACCTCTAGGGTTCAGGACTGAAGGTTTGAGGTTTAGGCTTATAGGTTATCAGAGTTCCTATGGGTTAGATGTGCAGTTCCATGGTCCTTCTTGGCTTTGAGTTTGGTCAAAACGATATATTCCACTATGACCCAGCAAAGGGCGTCAGGTTTAGGGTCTAAGACTTAAGAGTAAAGCTTCAGCGTTCAGGGTCTGAGGTGTTGTGGGTCTGCTTGATAATGATCATAGCAGGTCTGATGCGCGTTATGCCGTTCTGATTGCTGTTGTATTCCGTGGCTGTTTTGTCAATAGGGGGATTTCCAGGAACAAGCGTTTTGGGATGCTCCTATCACAAAAAAAACTGTTGCAGTCTTGTTGACACTGGGGGAATGTCCATCTTCTTTTTATTGCTACGGTTTACAACGAGAGGTACCACGGGGCAATTCAGCTCTTTGAGTCTCTACGTCTGGTCAGCTTCAGTTTACTTCCTTTTGAAAGCGGAAGTTCGGATGGTTGGGGTTGTGGGGCCTTTTTTTTCCCGGATGGCGTGGGCTCTTGAGTAGCTATCGAACAGAGAGCAGATGTCGAATAGCCGTCTTGGACGCATCAAATTGATGCGCTCCCGCACCCCCTGCCTGACAACCACGACATCAGAGTTAAAAAGCTGAGTCCTCACTTCCCTCTAGGAAACTCAGCCCCGGGACTTTCCTAAGGAGCCCCATGACCCCTCAAAAGGTCCCAAAATGCACCCACCCCCCATTAAGAGAAACCCTACTTGGAGAGCTGTGGGGACTTCGGAAGTAGGTTAAAAAGCGCTCTAACCCATAATTTATCCCTACTTGTCCCCATCATCAAGAAACTTGCTAGTACAATCCAAGAGGCCGCCATGGCAAAGCCACCATCCAGATGCCAGGTGTAGAAGGCGTGGAAAAAGCGGAAATCTTGGTTCCAAGCCTTGACCTTTATCTTGCTTCTGGGGATTAAAAGGTTTAGGGTATAGGGTTTAGGGATGCAATGAAGGAAAAGCAATTGAAAAGGAAATGGGAACCAGTGTCTATGAGGTTTTTGGGGCTGTGAGTAGGGAATGTAGGAGTAGAAGAGGAAATGGAAACTACAAGGTTGGGGATTATACAGGGCATACGGCGACGGCTACTGTAGGGATCCATTACTCCATTACCCACTGACAATTAGTAAGTTGCGGGTGACCATGGCCGAAAGACCCCGCTAAACGCTAAGCCCTTAACCCTAAACCCTTAGCACCTTGAACTTGCCCTTAACCCTAAACCCTGAACACCCTAAACTTGCCCTAAATCCTAAACCCTTAACACCCTAAACTCTAAACCTTTAACACCCTAAACGCTGAACCCTCAAAACCCTAAACTTGCCCTAAACCATAACTCCATAACACCCTAAAACCTAACCCTAAACCCTTAACACCCTAAACCCTAAACCCTTAACACCCTTAACACCCTGAACACCCTAAACCCTTAACACCCTAAACCCTTACCCTAAACCCCCAACACCCTGAACCCTAAACCCTTAACACCCTAAACCCTAAATCCTCAACACCCTAAACTTGCCACTGGCCCTAAACCCTTAACATCGTAAACCCTAGCCCCCCTTAACACCCTAGACCCTTCACACCCTAAACCCTTAACACCCTAAACCCTTAACACCCTAAACCCTTGCCCCTTAACACCCTAAACCCTTAACACCCTAAACCCTAAACCCTTAACGCCCTAAACTTGCCATTGACCCTAAACCCTTAACTCCGTAAACCCTAACCCCACTTAACACCCTAGACCCTTCACACGCTAAACCCTTAACACCCTAAACCCTTAACACCCTAAACCCTAAACCCTTAACACCCTAAACACCCTAAACCCTCACCTCCCCCCCCCAAATCCCTAAGCCCTTTACTTAGAGCCTACCGGGAGCACTAAAGCTTGAACTATCCTTGAACACTGACGAAAGCTTCTCAAAAACACCCCTGAGTGAGCCTGATGGAGAGCCACTTGTAATCTCTCGTCAGTCCCCGAAAACACCTGGATCCCAAAATGTCCCAAGTTTGAAACACTTCCCTATCTCTGCTATAAGAAAAAGGCAGATTTCTTGCCAGAGAAAACCAAGCGACATGAGGACAAACCTTGGTGCATCGTGTATGAGGGGGAGAAAGGGGAAGAGCAGGAACTGGGGATTTTTTCACATCTGAGTAGCCTCGGGGATTCCCATGCGGGCGATATGCGCTCTCATGGCAGAGGTCCGCTGTAGGGTAGCTTGGTATGGACCCCGAAGCGCGACAGACCGCCTAAGAAGGACTCTTCCTCGCGTAATTCTACAACAGCCCACCTGAAGACCTTTCCCAATCTCTTTTGTCATTGTTCGAACCCGAACCATATTTCTTGGTGTCTTAATCTCACAGATCCTGAACTGAGCAAGAATTTGCACGTTCCAAATTTGGACTGACTCGACGGTTCAGAGTCTGTTACGGTTTCAATATTGGGAGACTCAAGGGATGGAATGCATCCAAATAGGCGGGCAACAGTCTCCATAAAACCAAGAAGGTGTCCATGCTCTTGCCCTCTCCTTCCTTGCTTGTTACAAAGCAATAAGTAAGTTTTGAAGCAAGGCGCTGAGATGCTACAGGCCCTCGAGCGGCTCTCAAACGCTTCCATCTTTCATTGATTTCTACACCTGGCTTGCTTAACGTAAAACGACACCGCGAGGCCGGAACCATGCATGTCAAAAGCAAAACAAATATCTTCTCGCACGCTCTTTCGCCGACATCAAGCTACAAGCAACGTGCAACGTTGAAGCTCATGTCGTGCAGTTTTCTCAGGCCACCACTGTCCCTAAGGGTCTAAGGGGATCCAAATAATAGGGTTTCAGGGCCCAAATACTATAATATGAATGGTATTTGGACCCTAAAACCCTTTTATTTGGGCCCTTGGACCCTTAAGGTGTCGCAATGGTGATTAGCATCACAGCAACAGTCACACAACAGCGCGAAGTGGCCACACTCGCAGTACTGAGGGCAACAATAACGACAGCATGCGAAACGGATAGTTTAGGTGGAACCCCCCACCCTGTAATAGTGACTATAAGGGATAATAAGGATTACATTAGGGTCCTCTTATATTCCTCTTATACCACTATTACAGGGTGGGGGGTCCTCCTAACGGATAGTACACGTGGCCAGAGCTCGGAAGGAGAACCACACCGCCAAGCAACAGCACCAGCAACAATCAAAAGGGCCATGAGAAGACTGACTAATTGACACTTCCCTTCATCGTCGTGGCAAGGGCTATCATAGGAGTAGTGTTGTGGTCCTTGAGCTAGATCAGGTTATGTCTCTTTTAGACCGCACAGTAACCACAAGAAGAATGTAAGCTGGCTGTATGTTGGGGACAAGAGAATCCTTCTTAGAACTGAAGCTCAAATGAGACAAAACTGCAGACGCGCTTGGAAGGGACCACAAGCAACCCAGAATTACAACGGACTGAAGGTTTCAACGTGGGCTTTTTATACCATGTATGTAGCGCCAGGAGAGAAGGAACGCCTTCAAGCTCTTAAACACTAAGTCCTCTAAATCCTTAAGCCCCAAACAACTAAACTATTAGTGAATGATGTCTCTAAATCCTTAAGCCCTAAACAACTAAACTATTAGTGAATGATGTCTCTAAATCCTTAAGCCCCAAACAACTAAACTACTAGTGAATGATGTCCAAGCAGCCACCAGTGTGGTCTTAGACTCAGAAGAGCCTGGGCGCCAAAGCTCCTCAGCCTCCTTCTGCAGGGCTTACTGGGATTGAGTTCGGGGCCCTAGAAAAATCTAGTCCTCCCGGGCAATTTAAGAATACAAGAATGCATATATGTCGTGTATATATATATATGTGTATATACATATACATATATGTGTACATAGGAAATATGGTCCATGATAACCAAATAATTTCCCAGAAATACTTCAGTTTTGCAGGATTCAAGACTGAGGGCTTAGGATTTTACAGGGCCCTGGATTCATCAGAAAAGCCCTTAGAACAAAATGGTATGCTTTGCACGGATAAGAGTCCCTAAAACCCTAAACCCTACATTAAGAAGAGGTTCTCCCGTTTTTGGCCATGACGATGTGTAACGTGGTTGGGGGGCTTAGCGGCTTCAATGGTTTGAGGCCGCATACCGTGGGATAGATTACGAGAGTTGGGGCCGAATTTGATGTTCCTGCCGCTTGTCAACGCGTGAGTACGGAGCATGTGAGGTAAACACTACTTGGAGTGTCAGGGAGACCGAGTAAGTAGGTTAATAATGGGGATAACTAGGATTACTATATGGATTGTAGGGTTTGCTAACCTGCTTACAAAGTCCCTCTGACCCTCCAAGTAGGATCGCCAGACTTATTCGTCGAGCTACGCCTGGTCCCAAAAACGAGAGGGTCTGGAAGATAGACTGGGTTGCTGTTAAGGAACTTAATTTAAGTGTATTTAAGTTACTGTAGTGGGTATGTGTAATTCGTCTGGTTTCCCCAATAGAGTAACTTCAATGAACTTCCTTGACAGCAACCCAATAAATATGCAACTCATCAGGGTTAAGGGTTTGGGTGCATCGGGTTGCTAGCTTGAGCTTTCATGCCGCAGCAAGATTCGGATTTGATTCACGCTGCCGAGGAACAAGTCAAACTCGGCCAGAAGCCGGCGTAACCGTGATGACCATTCTGTTGCCATGGGAAAACAAAACAGTGAAGTAACAATGTATGCAATGTACGGCTCCCCTATGGTTTTGGAGATTCCTGGGCCCTTTAGCTCCCCTTATCGTACTGAAATGGACTATCCCTGGCTCCTTAGCTCCCCCAACAAGTATGGGTAGACAATGTATGCAATGTACGGAGCTCCTGCGCCAAGTCCGTCAGGACCTCATTTGCTGTTGACGACTTGCTGGTAACGACTCCTCAGCCATTCGCCCCCATGAGCCCCCCCTCATGAAAGCCTGAACATCCACCATGAGCCCCACCAAAAAAAAAACATGGTTTAGAGTTTAGGGTTTAGGGTTTAGGTTTGGGATGGGATACATCGTCTACAGGAAAAGGGTCAAGAGACTGTACAACGGCTGGCTGCGGAAAATGGGAGTAAACACCACAACTGTAGAAACTCTGTCAAGATGCCATCATCTAGGTATTGTACAGACTTCTGTGAAAGTCTGGCATGATACTTTCGCCACCCTTGGAAGAGCTACAAGATACTGATCATGAGCCTAAGAGTATCAAGAGCAACAATAATTCAGCAGTAGCAACCATCAAAACAAGCATCGCAGTGAAACCGGCACGGTTCCAAACGCAAATCTTTGTCCGCAATGAACGTGACAACGACCGGCATGTGATTTTAGACTCCTTTCTACGAAGCTCATGCATTTTCAGTTGAAGAATACTTGGTGATTCGGGTAGATATCTGGTCAGAGAATGCACAGTAATCCCAAGTGATAAGGAGATTCTGCAGATTTTTCCAGCATGCATTCGTGTCTTGTCTGAAAATGCGGGTCGCTTTACCCCCTCAAGCTACTAGGATACTACCAGGATCATCACAGGGACCCAGAAAAGGCTACAAGGTTGAGTCCTCCTGTGTGAGATGCTTTAACCTGACATAATCAAGACAACAACCAAAGTGAACCCTAACAAACTACTACAAACCCTGGAGACCTGTGCCCCAAACCCTACCACGCCCTAAACACCTGACAAAAACCGATAAGCCCTGAACCCGAAATCTTCAACCCTAAATCTAAACCTTACTCCCGCATTCCTTCCTCTCTAAGCCTTACTCCTTACTATTTTTTGCATCCGGCTTTACTTTACTCACAAACTCCCTACACGCTTAACCTTCAGCGGGCCAAACCCCCTACACGCTGTCCCTTCAGCAGGCCCTCAACCATCCAGCTTTCACCCCTAAAGCCTAAATAAATCCTAAACCCAAAACCACCAAACCTAAATATCACTCCATGAACTTACACGCCCTAAGCCCTAGGTACAGTCCCCACCCAGGAACCGTCAATAACAGGGGGGAATAAAGCAATATCACGGGCTGTATGTTACTGTATTGTAAAGGGTTTAGGGTTATGGCTGTTACTGGGTGGGGGCAGTACCCAACCTAAAACCACAACCCCAAACCCTACCCCTGAAGCGAATGTAGAAGCCCGAATAATCACTCGCATTGCTCCTTTTTAATCCTTACTTGGTTATACTGCTACATACCCGAACCCTAAATCATAAACCCTAACCCTTACAAGGCCTAAACCCCTAAATCCCTACCGCCTCAAAAGGCATGCTGCAATCCACGCGGCCACCCTCCCTTGCCGCCACCCACCGCGCGCCGCACCACGCCGCGCCCCGTCCTCGCAACCACACTCTCTTGCCGCCGCCACCCCGCGCCGCACCAAGCCGCACCGTGCCGCACCATCCACGCGGCCACCCTTGCCAGCACCATGGACCACACCAGCATTACGCGTCAATTGCAGGGGAAGTGAGGAACCCCTCTTTGAAGATGATGCCTAAGCGTGCAGGCCTGAAGCGCATGTAGAAGCGAATAATGACCCGCATTAGGGTTTAGGGTTTAGGTTCCCTGCTGAATTATTCTGCCACAACCGCAGCTTCTGATTAAACCGCTAAACCCTGCACCCTTCTCCTTCAACCCTAAACCCTAGTCCCTGAGCCTTAAACCGCCCTTGCATTAGTCACTGCAGTCCAGGTTCGGATGTCAGCTGGCGAGGCCCAGGGGCAGAAGCCGAGTCCAATCACCTCATGAAGGGCCTACTGCAGGTTTTACGGTTTAGGGTTTAGGGTCTAGGGCTTTAGGGCTTTAGGGCTTTAGGGTTAAGGGCTTAGGATTTAGGGTCTGGGGTTTAGGGGTGCTATACTGGAGAATAAAACGGAGAACACAGTTGAACACGACGTAAATGAAAGCTGAGTTTGAAAAAGGGCTTTACTTGGAAATGACGTAGGGACCTGAAATAATCAGCAATGTCATTTTGACGTCTGTTTGAAGTTCTCTGTACCATATATAATGGTACAACCTAGGACCATTGTATTCGCACAGTGATCGCGCTATGTTACCTCGCATGCCGTGCACACGCGCATGCACCCCACACCCAACTCTACAACTC